CAATAATAACCTTACCTGTTTGAAAATGTGTTTTGGCCTACTTATCTCAAGACAGATAAATTTTAAAAAGCTGTATATCTGTGAGGCTGCATAACCTTCACAATAATTAGATTTTGTATAAAGAAAAGGGGGATCTGTGGCAAAATGTTCTGCCGGCCTGGTGCCAGAGGAATGACAGGTAACCTCTGCCAGCCACAAACTCCTGCTGGGCCAGAGCTGACCCAGCTCCAATCCATCCTTTGTGTTACAGATGCCTTCTGTTGCCCTGTGTGAATCTTGTCTGAGAGTTTCCCATGGATACAAAGCCTATGCAAAACTTGGTTAGGAAAAACCTCATAAATCAGGTATTTGCACTTGGCAATATATTTTTGGAAGCTTCATTCAGGTTGTTGGGTTTTTTAATTTTAAGTTTTCTTTATTATGTATACAGTGTTCTGCCTGCATGTATGCCTGCAGGCCAGAAGAGGGCACCAGATCTCATTATAGATGGTTGTGAACCACCATGTGGTTGCTGGGAATTGAACTCAGGAACTCTGGAAGAGCAGTCAGTGCTCTTAACCTCTGAGCCATCTCTCCAGCCCCTCATTCAAGTTGTTTTAAACATATAAAAATATATTAGCTAAAGTGTAAATAGAGAAAAAATAAAAATGCCAAAGGGCTAAGAAAAAGTGCTTCAGTCCACTGAGGGTGGGCACCCCTGCAGCCACAGAGACTGAGTCCTTTCTATTCTCGGTGTCTCTGAGTCTTTGCCCCTGCAGCCACGGAGGCTGAGTCCATTCACAATGTCTCTGAGTCTTCGTTTCACAGTTCCACATAAACCCACACACCCACACCGCACTACCTGCAACAGCTGCTAGATGTCATATGGTGAGAGCATCCCCATGTTGGAGATTTCTTGGTTGCAGGGGTCTCTGCAATCCCCACAGCCAGCAGACAACAGTCCACATATGGCAGGAAGGCAACTTTCAACGAAACTCAGTAGCTGGCGTTGGTTCAAACTTCAGGGGTCTCACCTGGAGTCATTTATTTTAAGCACAGCAAATTTGGTGAAGATTTTGCTGGTGATAAATAACTCTAACCCACACACACTGAAACTTAGGACTAAAGTGAAAGTCTTTTTTGTAAAGTACCTGTGACATCGTCCATAAAGGTGTTCTATAGATTAACAAGCTCACAATAAGTGTCTGGGGGAGATCTGGTGTGGTCTCTGCAATGGATTAACTAAAATGCTGCGGATCCCCGAGTGTCTGCAGCAGGCAGTGGGCAGCAGGCCATGAGACCATGTAGCAGGTTCCCGAGTTGGGGCAGGCAGAGGGCAGCGGGTCCCGAGAGCAGCCAGTCCCAGGCAGGGATGGCACAGTCCCCCAAGTGGCTATAGTGGGCCACGAGGAATAGCAAGTCCCATGAGGAAAGACAGATGGATGGGCATTCCATGAGACCACGCCGCAGGTCTCCGAAGGCGGCTGGTCCCTGGCAGGGAGCCAGAGGTGGGTGAGAAACAGAGACGTGGATAGGCATGCCATGCAGAGTGAGGTTGGATATTTATTTAGTGGGTTATGGGAGGAAAGGGGAGAAGGGAGAAGAACAGGAAGAGAGGAAGAGAGGGAAGGAGGGAGGGAGGGAGAGAGAGAAGGGAGATGGGGAGAAGTGAGAGAGAGAAGCTGCCTCTTCGAGAAGAGACAGAAAAGAAGGGACTCAGGCTAGAAGCTGAAGACCAGCTTGCCATGGTGGACAGGGGTGGGGGTGGGGAGTGCGTGTGGCTAATCTCTTAAAGGGTTAAAGGGACAGGACAGCTCATTATATTCTCATCTCTTTTTTATAATAAAAAGGCGGGAGGCTAGACACCAAAGGTTAAAGGAATTGGGGTGGCAGATTCTCACAGAAAGTGCAAAGGTCACCAGGATATTAGAGCTGTTCCCAGCCTCTGGGTGGAAAAGAGGTTGTGCATCCCTCCCTTTGAAGGGTCAGCAGTGTGGTTAACATTCCTGGTTCCCCTGCTGCACAAGGACCTCCATTCCTCCCACACCTGGGCTGAGCATACCTGCCAAGAACGGAATTACAGGCTGTTTCCTCTGGGTGGGACAGGAGATTTCCATGTGACTAACCGTCCCTGTGTCCCTGAGGGAGAACCATGTCTCATGGGTACTTGAGGAGGGACATGCACCTGTTTTATTATTTTTTTATTTATCGAGACAAGGGTTTCCTTTGTGTCCTGGCTGTCCTGGAACTCGCTCTGTAGACCAGGCTGACCTCGAACTCACAGAGATCCACCTGCCTCCGCCTCCTGAGTGCTGGGATTAAAGGTGTGCGCCACCACTGCCTGGCTTTTGTTTTAATTTTTAGTTACCAGAAACAATGGGTTTTATTGTGCTATCTTCACACACTTCGCCTCACCGTTCCTTTGCTGAGTCGCCCCTCCCCCAACAGTTCCTTCCCTTCTTCCCTGTTCTTCTTTTTTTTTTTTTTCCTGTAGCCCAGGTTGTCCTGAAACTCGTGATGATCCTTTCTCCTTAACCTTCAAAAAGATTCTCCACCTCACCTGTCCTCTCTCTTGTTCTTTGCTGTTGTTGTTTTATCAGACCGGGGCTTGTAGCCCAGGCTAACCTACAACTCTCTACTGTCAAAGACGACCTTGAGCGTCCCAGAAGCTCACTGTGTTTATTAGGTAGAGTTGAGCAAGGAGGCGGGGTTATTTCATACAGCTGGCTCAAGGGGTCAGGTTTGGCTCTGTAAATATCCAGGGAGAGAAAGCGATGCTGGACAGTTTCTGCACGCACTGTCAACACTCGTGTTCAACCCCCCTCCCCCCCATCAAGGCTTTGCCATTCCTTCATCGGTATGAGACTCTGGGGTCCTTGACATGGCGGTGCCCATGGGGATAGCACACATTTATTCAGGGCTTTCTGTGCTCCCTAAAGGCCAGTGTTTGGCACCTACATGAGATGGGACACAGTTCCCTGGCACTGAGCCATCCGCTGTAAGCTGCTCTCCTTGCTGGGTGCAGGCCAGGCTCCTCTAACCGGCCACATTCCTTCCCGCCTGCCTCACAACACCAAGTGCCTTCAGTGTCAAGTTGCCCTGACCCTGCACCTGCCTCTGTCTCTAGCTGGGTCCCAGCGAGAGTGACTTGATCCATTCAGCCTCAAAAAGGATGAAAGGAAAGAGCGCTGTTTGGATGGAGTGCGGAACTCTGGCTTTCCTTTTGACAACCCACAAGGCGGTCTGAGATTCGGTATTCTGGGGCGGGAAATTGCAGGTTTTGTGAAGGTCAGCACATACTCTGGGAACAGAAACGTAACACCTTCCAAACGCAAGAGCTGCAGAGATACAAGAAATGGGATTTGTTGTTTGTTTAGTTGCTGAGGAGCTGAGGAGGGAACCCAGAACTGCTGAGCCAAACCCTAGCCCCTTACTGGGCGATTCTAGGCCCAGCAGAGGCAGCTACAGCTGAGCCACGCCGTGCCACAGCGTGTGAGGGAAGATCAGAAGGGACCTTGGTTGTTGGCCATGGCTTTCCTGGTTTGCAACAAGAGTCTCTTGTTTAGGCTCCGCTTGGGTCGAGCTGACTGGCTCCTAAGCAGCAGCTCTCCACCGCCTTCTCACAGCGAAGCCGCACTGAGTTTACAGATGCGAGCGCCCCCTGCTGCATCTGGTTTATATGTGGGATTTAGGGATCTGAACTGAATTTATCACATTTGGGCAGCAACCATCCCCCCCCCCCCTCTCTCTCTCTCTCTCGATAGGGCCTCACTATGTAGCCATGGCCAGACTGGAACTCATTCTGTAGACCAGAATGGCTTGAGCTCACAGAAATTCGCCTGCCTCTGTCACCCAAGTGCTGGAATTAAAGGCGTGTGCCACCATATCCTGCCCAACATTTTTATTCGACAAAAATGTTTATTACCCATACTGGCATACATAATACTGGGTCTCATGACATTCCCATGTGTGTGCCCTGTTCTTTACTCAACCTTCAGTTCCCTCTCCTGTCCCCCCCACTGGTCCTCATCTCCCTCTCCTGTCCCCCCCACTGGTCCTCATTTCCCTCTCCTGTCCCCCCCACTGGTCCTCATCTCCCTCTCCTGTCCTCCCCACTGGTCCTCATCTCCCTCTCCTGTCCCCCCCACTGGTCCTCATTTCCCTCTCCTGTCCCCCTCACTGGTCCTCATCTCCCTCTCCTGTCCCCCCCACTGGTCCTCATTTCCCTCTCCTGTCCCCCTCACTGGTCCTCATCTCCCTCTCCTGTCCCCCCCACTGGTCCTCATTTCCCTCTCCTGTCCTCCCCACTGGTCCTCATCTCCCTCTCCTGTCCCCCCCACTGGTCCTCATTTCCCTCTCCTGTCCCCCTCACTGGTCCTCATCTCCCTCTCCTGTCCCCCCCACTGGTCCTCATTTCCCTCTCCTGTCCCCCCTCCATTGGTCCTTGTTTCCCTCTCCTGTCCTCTCCACTCCAACTGGTCCTTCTCCAGTTCCCACCTAGGCCACCCTCTACTTTCATGTCCTTTTTATTTCTTAGCGACCTAAAGAGTTTAATTGGGGTGACTTTTAGGAGCATGGGTGAGGGGTTGAAGGCTCATGGGCACCTTGCCAATGGCTACACCACTGAGGAAAATGTCTCTCCCTCTGCCAGCAACCATTAACTGTCTAGAAGGCCTCAGCGGGGGGGGGGGGGGGGGGGGGGGCTCACGAGTCTCTATTTATTTATTTATTTATTTATTTATTTATTGGTGTTTGTTTGAGACAGAGTCTTATACTACAGCTCAAACCGACTTGGGACTTACTGCATAACCCAGGCTGGCATGGAACTTGTGGCAATCCTCCTGCCTCGGCCGTCCTTGTCGGGTACCCTGCTTGGCCATTATTACTGAAAGCAGAAGGCTTCTCTTCTGTGTGTTTGGAGCAATGTATCCTGTCCACGCATCCATATTGGTTCTCTGCAGCTGTGGGCATGGTGTTCATTTCTGGGTGTGTGTCTACTTCACAGCACAAAAGTTTTGAAAATGGGCAGCAAGATGGCTTCCGCCAGCAGGGTCGTGCAGGTAGTGAAGCCACATACTCCATTAATAAGGTTCCCTGACAGAAGAGACAATCCTAAACTCAGTGCCTCAGATGTTTTGAGATCTGCTGGGCTACCCTCTCACTCCTCTGTAATTTCACAGTATTCTAAAGGAAGCACATCCCCAGACCTGCTGATGCATCCGGGGCCACCAGACACTGCAGAAATACTAAAAACATTACCTCACAAGTACAGAAGGAAACCTATATCTCAAGAAGAAATGGACTTCATCCAGCGTGGAGGTCCAGAATGACCGCTGTGGCTGCTGTTTGTCGCCAGACAAAAGGATTATCTTTACAATAAAGGACTTCCAAAATGTCAAATGAAAATTGTATATTAAGCAACCTTAATAAATATTCTGCAAAAAGAACTAGGCCTTGACCTCAGACATTCACCCCTAGTTTAGTAAGAACTGGAGGCCACACGCAGGTTCTGCCACTCATCTCTGTCATGTGACAGCCACTCCAGACTCTGCCCAGACACTCTGGGGTCACATCACAGTGACAGGCACCTCTCCTGGGCTGGGCTGGCTGTATGCTCAAAGGTTTCTGAGTAGATTAAATATCATAGTATAGAAAACTGTTATCTAGTGTGGCCAGGGCTCAGAAAGCAGCCCTGTTCAAGGTGGCATGGTGGCATCTGAACAAAAAAAAAGGAGGGTGTGGCTCCTGGGCATGGTGAGGAGAAGGCTTGTAGGAGATAAAAGGGTCTAGTGACTCTTCCACAAGGCCACACAGCAGAACCCTGCGGGTCATGTATGTTCTTACATCACACTTCATAACTAGCAACACTGCGGGTCATGTATGTTCTAACATCACACTTCATAACTAGCAACACTGCGGGTCATGTATGTTCTAACATCACACTTCATAACTAGCAACACTGTGGGTCATGTATGTTCTAACATCACACTTCATAACTAGCAACCCTGCGGATCATGTTTGTTCTCACATCACACTTCATAACTAGCAACACTGCGGGTCATGTATGTTCTCACATCACACTTCATAACTAGCAAGATTACAGTTTTGAAGTAGCAACAAAGTTTGTTTGTTTTGTTTTTAAAGACAGGGTTTCTCTGTGTAACAGCCTAGCTGTCCTGGAACTTGAAGAGTCCAAGAATACAAATATAGCAATGTGGATTCCAGAAATAAGAATGTAGAAATAAAGAAATATAAAGCTGTAAGCCCAGGAGAAGGAGACTGTCGGCGGCTTTCTCAGCAGCTTAAGGATTAACTATAACAGTGGGTTACTCCGCTTTACAACCCATAGTTTGTGAGGCTGAAGCAGCCCTCTGCAAACTCAGGGTCCCTCTGCAAACTGAGGACCAGCTTTTAGATACCCCCTGGCCACTCATGGCCAGCAACTGATGTGAGCTGAGGTAACTTTCAAATGGTGGGATGGACGTGACTTTTGACTGTTTGGTTTTACATTGTCCCATACCCTTCCCTGCCATGCGAAACTGGCAGTGGCAGGGAGGTGCAGAGCCTTGGTGAACACCATCAAGGAACACCAGGGGAAAACAACGGGCTAAATACAAACACTAGTTTAACTGAAAAACCCTGTTACTGAAAATTGCAAAGAAGGGCAATTTGTGTCCAAGTTTCACCTCAAGATTGTAAAAATTCCTTTGTTATTGCCTAATGCTTGTTGCTTTAATATAAAAAGGGAGAGTTGGGAAGCTGACCTTTGCCACAGCCTTACAAGCCCGAACTCTGGCTGTGGTCTCAGTTAGCTGATAAGTTTTTTTGTGCCCCATGGAGATTCATTTTTTTAAATTTTTTTCCTGGACAAAAGTTTGCTTCTGGTTTACCAGACGTCGGTAGTCTGTCCCCATCTTTGCTCAACCCCCATGGACCCAACAGAACTCACTCTGTAGACCAGGCTGGCCTCAGACTCACGGAGATCCACCTGCCTCTGTCTCCCAAGCGCTGGAATTAAAGTCGTGTGCCACCAACATTGGGCTCCCACTAGGTTTTCTTCCCCCTGTCTCTGCCTTTTGAGGTAAGTCATGACATTGTTCCCAACTCACAAGACACTGAGGCAGAGAAATAAGTCAACGTACTTGGGATCCAACAGCCAATCAGAGGCAGCATCTATCTTGAACCCAGCTCCTGGGGGCCTGGGCCAGCAGTCTGTCTCGGGGCTGCTGCGTTTGGGGGGTTCCCAGCTTCATCCTGTGTCCCGCAGGCTATTGAACTTGTCCACAGCCTCCACCCCTAAATGCTGGAACATTCCTGTGGAATCCCAAGCACTCAGGACAACCTGAGTCCCCCTTCCTCTCCTCACCCCGTCTTTCCACCCGGCTTTGTGGGCCCTTAAGTACCCATTGACCGTCCCCACCAAGATAGCAGGCAGATAAGGCTCTTACCAGCACATCAGCTGGAACTTCTAGGTGTGGCTTTAATTTGCATCATTTGGCTAGGAGAAGTGACAAACACCCCCTAGTGTGTACTTCAGGAAGCTGACTGGGCTGGTCAAGCCTAAGGTAGGAGGATTGAGTTCAAGGCCCACTTGGGCTATAGAGCCAGCTCCTATATCAAAAACGGTGAAGCAAACAAGTGTCGGGCGGGGTTGGGCCTCGATTGGTAGAGTGATTACTGTCTACCATGCATGAAATCCTGGCTTTAGTCCTCAACGCAGACACACGGGGAGTGGTAGAGGCAGGAGAATTCAGAGGCCCTCCTTGACCAGATAATGAGCTCGAGGTCTGCCTGGACTGCGGGAGACCATGTCTCAAAATAATAACAGCCGGAGATGGCGGCACACACTGCTAATTCCAGGATTTGACAGCACGCAAAAATAACAATAATAATAGTATAATAGTAAAACCCAATAATAGTCAGGAGTGACTTCAAATACCCCACAACCACTGTTTATCATAAACTGAACAGAATGGCAACAAAACAAAACAGAGCACTGCTAATTCCAAGAGTTGGCAAGGATGCAGAGCTTGCCAGAATCCTTCAAGGCTCGAAAAATGTGACTCTATCACCCGGTTCTGGGGATGGAGCCCTGGGTCTTGCACATAGCAATAAGTACTCTGTATCCACAGTAGCCCAGTTCTTCAACTTCAGAGAAGTTCTTGCTAAGTTTCCCAGGCTAGTCTCAGACTGGAGCTCCTCCTGCCTCAGCCTCCCTGGGATGACAGGCTGGCACCACGAGAGCCAGGAGACTTCATCTGGTCCACGGATCACTTCAGAAGCAAAGCTCCAAGCAGTTTTTTTTTTTCTTTTTTGGTTTTTCGAGACAGGGTTTCTCTGTGGTTTTGGAGCCTGTCCTGGAGCCAGTCCTGTAGATCAGGCTGGTCTCGAACTCACAGAGATCCGCCCGCCTCTGCCTCCCAAGTGCTGGGATTAAAGGCGTGAGCCACCACCGCCCAGCAACTCCAAGCAGTTTTGCAATCAAACCCTCTAGTGAAACTTGAGGCCATGCTGGGTGTGTAGTCTGGTGTGGGGCGGGAGCACAGCTCAGTGCAGAGGACTTGCAGAGAGGGCTGGGAGGGGGAGGAAGAGCGGAAAGGAAAGAGATGACTTGGCATGGCTGTAGTCGTCAGAATAAAGCAGATTATGCTGCAGTAACAAGCAGGTCTTGACCGAGAGTTGTCCAGCAGTGTAGACAGGCCCCCTCTTGCCCATCCCTATTACAGTGAGCTAAGGCTGTGAGCCCATCTGCAGAGCCCAGGCTGAAACTTACCCTCTTGGAACCTTGCCCCCAGTTACTGAGCGGAGCAAAAAAGGAGCCCTTCCTCCTCGTCCACACCTGCTGGGTGGCACTGTGAAAATATCTCAGTCATTCACCCATTCACAGGGGTGAGGATTTTACAAGGGATTACTACCATAGTACTGCTAAGAGCCTTCTAGAATAGGCTGGCGTGCTACTTCTGAATTCGTAGGTGTTGTTCTTCGGGTGCTATCTACTTTTAAATTTTTTGACTATTATTTTGTGAGTGTCCATGATGTGTGTGTTGTGTGTGTAGGGGGATCATACCAAGGAGTGCATGGGAGATCAGCTGACACCTCCTGGGATCCCTTTTCTCCTTCCAATTCTGTATGGCTTCCATGGACCAAGCTCAGGGCGACAAACACATTTACCCACTCAGCTGTCTTGCTTTCCCTCTGCCCCCCTTGTTCTAAGACAAGGTCTTTTACTCAGCTGGAACTGACTGAGTAGACGAGGATGTCTGGCCAGTGAGTCCAGGGCTCCACTCATCTCTGCATCCTCAGTGCTGGGATTTCCAGCATGGACCACCATGCCCAGGTGCTTTGCATGTGGGTGTTGGGGGTCACACTCGGGTCTGCGTGCTTGTGACACTGGCACTTACAGAGTCATCAGCTCCTACTGCAGCTCTTTAAACAGCATTGGCTGAATGAGTGTGACTGGGTGCCAATAAACCTTTATTGACACAAATATGTGATCCTCCAGATCTGGCCCACAGGTTGTAGCTTTGCAGCCCTGTAGCACAGCAGTGATAACAAATATTCACTGTGGACCTGTGACCCAACTCTCCCTAGAGGACTGGACAGGGTTTAGAAAGGTTCGGCATTGTTAAACACTGTCAAGGTGGTAAAGGCAAGTGAGGGGCCCTTCCTGTAAGCACCCTTTTGATTTTTAAAGACACCTTATTGGTTTTTCCTTTAAATAAGCTGAGATGTTAGAGACCGGGTGAGTTGATTTCAATCAATGTTCATTAGACCCTTCTTTGGCACCAAGAACTAGAGTTACGGGTGCTAGTGAGTTGCCACATGGGTGCTGGGAACCCAGCCTGGGTCCTCTGCAAGATGGGCTAGTTTTCTTAATCACTGATCCATCCTTCCAGCCCCATATAGTTGTGAAACATTTGTTTAACTGTGCAAAGATGTGTTGCTGTTTTACCTTGCCTGCCTAAGGCACCTGATAGGTCTAATAAAAAGCTGAACAGCCAATAGTGAGGGAGGAGATATAGGCAGGACTTACAGGCAGGGAGAGTAAGTAGGAGGAAGAATACAGGATGGGGACGGGGGAGAGAAAGAAAAAGATGACAAGAGGTTGCCAGGGAGACACCAGGGGCCAGGCAGCCAGACCGGGAGGGAGTAGGGAATAGGACACAGAAAGAAAGAAAGAAAGAAAGAAAGAAAGAAAGAAAGAAAGATAAAAAGCCCCAAGGCAAAATACAAAGGACTAGAAATAGGTTAAATTGTTACAAGAGCTAGCGGGACAAGCCTAGGCTAAGGCTAAGCTCTCATAATTAATAACAAGTCTCTGTATCTTTACTTGGGAACTGTTTGGCAGCCCAAGAAGAATCCCAACTATGCCACATTCAGCTTTTATTTTTTTTTAAATATTTATTCATTTATTATGTATATAATATTCTGTCTCTG